ACTATGAACATATCTGGAGAGAGAAAGTGCCAGGCAGAGGGAACTACAGTGAAAATCTCACGGGCAAGAATATGACTGGAATATTAGAAGCCAGTGTGGGCACTGACAACAGGTAGTGAGAGAGGAGGAGACTATTAGGACATTAGCTCAGAAACAGGTGACGAGCCCTGTAGGCCTTTATAAGGACCCAGTGAACTGGGGATCCCCCTCCCAGGTTTTGAGCAGAGAAATACCACATCTGACTTTGGTTTTTAAAGGATCATTCAGCCTGCTATATTGAAACTCAGGAGCCCAGGGCCAGAGCAGAAGCAGGAAGACCATTCAGGAAGGACACTGCAATAAACCGGGTGAGAAAAGACTGTGTTCAAAACCAGGGTGATAGCAGGAGAGGTAATTAGATGTGGTCAAATTCTGGATTTTCAGGTATTTTTATATATATATATATTTTTTTTTATGATTTTTTATAGAGAGGAAGAGAGAGGGATAGAGAGTTAGAAATGTCAATGAGAGTAAAACATCAATCAGCTGCCTCTTGCACACCCCCTACTGGGGATGTGCCTGCAACCAAGGTACATGCCCTTGACCAGAATCAAACCTGGGACCTGTCAGTCCACAGGCCAATGCTCTATCTGCTGAGCCAAACCGGTTTCGGCTGGATTTTCAGGTATTTTGAAGAGGAAACCAATAAGCTATTCTCTGTTGCACTGAAAGTAGAATATGAGGTTAAGAGATAAGTTAAGGATGGTTTCAAGGGTATGGGCCCAAGCAACTGAAAGGGAAGAGTTGCCCTTTATTGGTAAGGAAAGATGAGCATGTGTGAGGGAAAACAGAAGTTCAGCATGAGACATTAATTTTTCAACATGCCTATTACAAATTAAAGTGCTGAGTCAAGCACAAGATTGTGTGTATTTCAAGTCTACCTGAGAGTTGCAGGCCAGAGATATAAATGTGGGAATCTTCAGCAGACAGAAAGTATTTAAATCCATGAGTCTGGGTGAGCATGAGTGTTGACAAAATAAGGAAGGCATCTGAGGACTGAACCCTGGAGAACTCAATATTTGGAGGTCAAGAAAAACAACAAGCACCATCAAAGAGAATAAGATGGAGTTGTCACTGACTATTGACGTGTGAGGAAACCAGAGAGTGTGCTGTCCTGGAAGCCCAGGGAAGAAATTGTTTCAAGTAAGTGTAAAACTGGACATGTTAAATCCCATGACAGAACGATTAGAAGCTGGCTGAGACCTGACCTTTGTGCTTAGCAATGGGGTGGGCACTGATGGTCATTGTATGAGTAGCTTAGTTGGAGTAGAGGAGGTGAAAATCTTGCACAGAATGAACTCAAAACAGGAGCAAAGTAAATGGAAAGAGCAGGTATAGACAATCCAAGTAGCCATCACTGACTGCAAGAGACAATGAAGAACTAAACAGACATAGCCACCACCCCCCCCCAATTAAGTAGAACTCAGTATATATAAAATGGGCTCATATTCCTGTTCTCAGAGGAAGGAAAAAACTGCTCATCACTTTGTAATAAGGTGAGACATTTTTTAACTGCTCATTTTGTCAGCCTACCCAGCTTCTGAATCAAAAGTCACAGTGTTCCTGTTCAATTTGAAAAGCTCAGGTGACATGCTTGGATTCAGTTCCATGTTCCTAGGCCCATGGCTGGCAAACTGCAGCTCTCAAGCCACATGCAGTTCTTTGGCCCCTTGAGTGTAGTTTTTCCACAAAATACCAAGGCCTGGGCGAGTCTATTTCAAAGAAGTGGCGTTAGAAGAAGTTTAAGTTTAAAAAATTTGGCTCTCAAAAAAAATTTCAATCATTGTAGATACTACTGATATTTGGCACTGTTGACCAATGAGTTTGCTGACCACTGTCCTAGGCCATAGAACAAACCCAGTCCCCAAAAGACTTCAGCCCTCTACCCAATCAATAAATTGCAGTTAATGCCCTTAGGGAAAATGGTCTTGGATGAAACTCCCAGTTAGCAGCCAATCCAAGTCCATTAACTTCCATATCTGGAAGTAGGTGAGTAAAGTGCATAAGGCTGATGGCTTCAATTCAGTTCTCATTTATCAGCATCACAATAACCTGACTCAAGGATATACAATTCAGGGTGATTGGATGAAATTGCTGAGTAGAGGTCCAAGACCGAAATAATGAGGCTGGAGGTCAGGATTCACAATTACTGGTACAGTTGTTTCAAAGGACCAGGTATATTGTCATGGAGCAAGAATAAAGGGCACCCAGAGGCTCTAACCTAGACAAGCCATCAGGCTGATGCAGCACCCTATCATTTGCCTCACCCTGTGACTTCTGACTCTTCATTTCATTAAAAATATGCATAACAACAGTGATTACCATAAACCTTTTATTTCTATAGCTTAATTCCCTGCAAAATGCTTTCAGTCTATGCTTTTCATTTGAGTCCTTTAGCAGGCATTTCATAGATAGAAAAACTGAGCTTGGAAAGGGTGAGGAACACAGAACTGTAGATGGTGGGGACCAATGAAGAGCATACTTTACTTCAGTGAATAACACCTCCCACCTAAATAGAAAAAGAATTGGCTATTTGAGTAATCAACTTTGGAGATTATATGTGATAGAATGAAAAATGTTTTATCTGTTAACACCAGAATTCTTCTAAGGAAAAAACTATCTGTGGTTAGGAAAATACTTTGATAAATAGCAGATCCTGGTTTGCCCAGCATAATCCCAATGTTTTCCTTTTGTCTTAGAGAAATAATTAACATTGCTCACTTTTACCTCCAGAGATGTTCCAGTTCTTAGATGTGGTCACCATATTGAGATATGTTTGCTACTACATATAAGCTACCTGAAAGGAGGCAGGGAGGGAGGGAGGTGAGATCCTATGCAAGAGCAAGGGTTAGCAGGCAGTCAATTGTTCGTCAAACTGTTAAGCATTTGACATAAGTAAGAATGCAAAAAAGAGCCAGAAGAAAAAAGAGGAGTAGAGTTATAAGAAGCTAGGCAAATAATGTGTGGCTGGGACACTGTGTGGAGTTAACTCCCAAATCTCCAGTTGCAAGGTAACTTTAGGACAAGATGCCTGGTTTCCGATTTGAAATTATTTTTATTCCTAAGATGTAAAACCTTGCCTTGCCCTTCTTTCCACCACTTCAGTCAAGTCTACTATACATGTAAATGCTTGATGTAAGGTGTTGTTGTTGTTGATGTTGTTGTTGTTGTTGTGTGTGTGTTTATAGAAATTAAGGAAGGAAGTTTCATAGCTAAGATACACAGAACAAAGAGAACACACAAAGGACAGGTGATAATGCAAAGCCAAAATACAGAGGACCAGAAGTTTAGAGTTAGAAGTGACCTTGAACATGTAAGCTCTCCAGAAATTCTCAAAACCCACAGAGTCAAGTATGGAAGTTTTGGGACAATGTCCTGCAATTCTCACAGAGCACAAACACAGTTCACACTGGGGCTGCATAATAAGTGAGTGCAATAGGAATTGACATTTGTTTGATTAATCAGAAAAGTCAGTTAAAGTTTCTTAAACACTTTATAAAGTCTTAAACCTACACATGTACATTTATTCTCCAATGTATTCATGTGGAGCCAAAGCTGTTCCTTCATCCATGAGTCTGTCCACTGGAGTTCTCTATTGTCTTTCTTGCATAAACCACATCCAGAATAATGCAGAATCTAATTTCATTAGAAGAGACTCTAATTTTTTTAGAAGAAGCACTCCTAGATGTCTATGATATTTTTCTAATTTTTTACAGAGGTTTACCCGTCCCTAATTTGACGACAATTTTTCTTAGCAACTTGTTTTATCAATTCTTTCCAAAGTAACTTAGCTTTCATGGATGTGTTTTCTTCTTGCAGTAATGGCCTACTAATTTAAGATTTAATAAAATTACATAATTATGAAAACAAATACAATTAGCACAAACACATTTGCAACAAATGCAGCTGACTCTTGCGAGGTATAGAAGTCATCCATGGGAGCAGGCGTGGTTGGTGTATGAGAGCTCTCAATTTGCCATGACTCTGGGAAGTGTCTGTGATTTCAGAGGAAAGGGAGAGCTCTACCATTCCAAGAAGCTTGGTAAGTGGAGGTGATTTTAAAAGCTTCTTTTTAGTTTATACAAAATTTTCCTGAAGAGTTCAACAGCTTGTCAATGCACAGCATATGGGAACTATAGCCATGCTTTCTTCCCTGCAGTGACTGCATCACTGCCAACCCGAGAGCTGCATTCAGTGGTTAAACCTGGCCCAGAGACCAGGGACCCACTTCCCCAAATGGGGAAAATAATCACTCCCATTCCTAACTGAACAATCATAGGGTGTGGTGGGCTCTCATATAGGCTCAACCTTTAGTGAAGCCCCTTAAAAGAAGCCAAGCTGCACCCAAGGCTGGACAGAACAGCTCCAGGAGATTCTCAGCAAGAAGAAACATTTAGTGGTAATGACTAAACACGTGTATTCAATGTAAATTAGGACTCTCTTCAGCTGGAAAGGGCAAAGAGCTAAATCTAAGCTGCAGCCGGAGAAAGCACATTTCCTCCTAATCAGAGGAGCACAGTCAGAGTGCAGTGGAGCAGGTAAATGAACTCATGTGTATAATTAGGATCTTTTTTCTTTTCCTCCAAAGTGTGAAGAAGGAAAGGTTGGCATGTGAGGGGAAGAAGTTAAAAACTTCTGGGAGATGACTTCCTTAGTCATCTGCAGAGGCAGGTTAGCCTTGATAACTGTCCTGGTAAAGAGCTGAGGATATCAGCCTGAGGAAGTATGTGAACTAAAGGGCTTCTGATGTCAGAAATTCTTAAGTGATGATAGCATTCTTTAAAGTTATAGATTTTTTAAAAGATTAAAATCAATCACCATAAGTAGATAATAAGCAAGATTTCTAACTACTAGTGTACCAGTTAATAATGTGGATTTTTTTCAATAGATGGAGTTACACATATGTTAATATGTATGTGATTTGATATGTTTGCTCTTTTGTTGTATTGACTGACGGCAAGCTTCAAAGCTTCATATGTCCAATTTGCTGAAGATGTTAGCATCATAGATATTTTTATGCTTAAAATGTCCAATTTGGTGCCAAAAAAAAAGCATTTATGAGAAGTTTTAATTCATTACTATAGTAAACTCTTTCACAGCCCACGTGGGAAGAGTTCCAATTCAGGGTTCGGATTCTGGAGAAGGACCGCACACAAATGAAGAAACTTGAGACTTGAAGAAATTCAACTTGGCAATATGGGGGCCAGGCTGTAGTCCAACTCTAGTGGGAGAACTACTCACTGCTCTGGCCCTGCCATCCTCTTTTATTAAGGCTTTGGGAAAACATCTTAGGCAACATAAACAGAAATTTACATGTAGCTCTTAGGCAGGAAATAACAGAAACTTACACAGGACAAACAAGGTGGAGGCTGCTTCAGCTAACAATGTCTCAACTAAAGGGTGAGTGGTTAGAGCAATTAAGGTTGTTGACCAGCCTTCCTGGCTTCCTGTCAAAATCTCTTTTTAGTGAAACTGATTTGTTTTCCAGCACATTACTTTATTTTGAAGAAAAAGTTATCATATACTTTGGGAAGCTTATGGTGAACATGCTTCATCTCAACTGTGAACACTGGTTTAAATACTTTAAAAGTGATTATTTCAATATGAAAGACAAAGAACATCCAAGTCAACTGAAAAAGTTTGAAGACCAACAATTACAAGCATTATTGGATGAATATGGGTGTCAAACTCAAAAACAACATGCAGAAAAATTAAACGTTGTTCAGCAAACAATTTCCAATCATTTACAAGCAATGGGAAAGATTTTAAATGAAGGAAAATGGGTGCCACATCAACTGAACAAAAGACAAATGGAAAACCGAAAAGTCATCAGTAAAATGTTGCTTCAATGGCACACACAAAAAAAGTCCTTTTTGCATTGAATTGTGACCAGTGATGAAAAGTAAATTTGAAAATCCCAAATGCACAAAATCCTGGGTTGACCCAGGTCAACCATCAACATTGACTGCAAGGCCAAATCGCTTTGGAAAGAAGGCAACACTCTGCATTTGGTAGGATAAAGAAGGTGAGGTGTATTATGAGCTTCTAAAACCAGGTTAAACCATTAATACTGATCACTACTGACAACAAATAATCAATTTGAACCACACTTTGATGGTGAAATGACCAGAATGTTCCAGAAGACACAATAAAGTAATTTTGTTTCATGATAACACACCATCACACACTTCAAAACCAGTTAAAGACACGTTAAACGATCTTGCCTGGAAAGTATTCACCTATCCACTGTATTCACCAGACCTTGCTCCTTCAGATTACCACTTGTTCCAATCGATGGCACACTTTCTGAGAAGCACTTCAAAATGTACGAAGAAGTGGAAAATTGGGTCTCTGAATGGTTTGCCTCAAAACAAGAAAAGTTCTATTGGGATGATACTGACAAATTACCTGAAAGATGGGGAAATGTGTAGCTAGTGTTGGACATTACTTTGAATAAAGCCCTTTTGATGTTTCTCTTGAAAGTATTGTGTTTTCTTTGATTACAAAATGCACCATTATTAAATGGTACATCTAGGTTTTGTGTTTAAATTTACTTTAGGCCTAGCTGGTTTGGCTCAGTGGATAAAACATTGGCTTGCGGACTGAAGAGCCTCAGGTTTGATTCTGGTCAGGGCCACATGCCCAGGTTGCAGGCTTGATCCCCAGTAGGGAGCATGCAAGAGACAGCCAATCAATTATTCTCTCTTATCATTTATGTTTCTATTTCTCTCCCTTTCCATTCCTCTCTGAAATAAATAAAAATATATAAACTTACTTTAAATTATCTTTAATTTTACTCTGTTTATATAGTCTTCATGATGGGACATTTAGTACAAAGAAAAAAAAAATATGTACCATTGTCTCTGGGGCTCAGCCTCACCAGTGGTCCAGTTGGAAATCCACAGATGAAGCAGTTAAATTAATGAGAGGCAGTAAAATCTCAGACATCTCAAGGAGCAGACATCTCCTAGGGCAGTGGTCAACAAACTGCGGCTTGTGAGCTGTGGTTTGCCACTCTGTTGACTAATGAGTTTGCCCACCACTGACCTAGACTATCAATTCCAATAATTGCAGGCCATTGTTGTTCCTTGTGATTAAGCCCCTAGCAAAGGAAACTAAGAAGAAAATAAACAAATAGGACTACATCAAAATAAAAAACTTCTGCATAGCAAAAGAAACCACCATCAAAATGAAAAGGGAACCCACTGTATTGGAGAACATATTTGCCAATGATACATCTGATAAGGGGTTAATATCCAAAATATATAAAGCACTCATACAAGTCAATAGAAGGAAGACAAACAATCCAATTGAAAATTGGGCAAAAGGGCTGCATAGACATTTCTCCAAAGAGGACATACAAATGGCCAAGAGACATATGAAAAAATGCTCAAAGTCACTAATCATCAGAGAAATGCAAATTAGAACCACAATGAGATATCACCTTACACCAGTCAAAATGGCTACCATCAACAAATCAACAAACAAGGGATGGCAAGAATGCAGGAAAAAGGAAACATTAGTTCACTGCTGGTGGGAAGGCAAATTGATGAAGCCAGTATGGAAAAGAGTATGGAGTTTCCTCAAAAACTTAAAATGGAACTTTGTTTGGCCCATCAATCTCACTTCTGGGAATATATCCCCAAATGCTGAAACACCAATCAGAAAGAATATAAGAACCCCTATGTTCATAGCAGCATTATTTACAATAACTAAGATTTGGAAACAGCCCAAGTTCCCAAAAGTAGATGAGTAGATTAAAAAAAAAAAGCTGTGGGACATTTACACATTGAAATACTATGCAGCTATTAAAAAAAGGGGGCGGGGGGGATCTCTTACCCTTTGGGACAGCATGGATGGCTCTGGAGAGTATTATTCTAAGTGAAATAAGCCAATCTGAGAAAGACAAATATCACATGATTTCACTTATTTGTGGAATCTAAGGAACAAAATGAATTGACCAATAAAATACCTTGATGTGGGGTTAAATATGTGAGAAGAATTTATATACTTATATGCATAGCCTATGGACACAGGCAATGGGATGGTGAAGACCTGAGGGTGGGTGGTGGGTAGGGACTGAGAGGAGGGGAGTAAAAGTGGGGTGTAAACAAGACGTCTGTAATACTATTCTACATAATTAAAGGCTAATATGCAAATTGTCCCCTTGGGAGTTCAACCGACCAGAAGTTCAACTGCTCGATATGATGTGTGCTGACCACCAGGGGGTGGCACGGAACAAAGGAAGGCCCTGGCTGGCAGCCAGCAGCCAAGGAAAGAAAGGTCCCAGCCAGCAGCTAGCAGTCAGAGGAAGGAAGGCCCCAATCAGCCCTGATCACTGGCCAGGCCTAGGACACTAGTCATGCACGAATTTCATGCACTGGGCCTCTCGTCAACAATAAAACTATACAAATAAGGAAGTTAATGCAAGATCTAGAAATGGGGACAAACCGGCATCAAACTGAATACTATCAAGTATTGGCAACTGGCAGGAGGCGGGAACATAAAAGGTAACAAACTGAACTGACAGACTCCTTTGCTTTTATATTTGTTTTATTTTTTTTTTCATTTGTTCATTATTTACTGACTTGAGGCCTGATGCACACACAATTCATGCAAGAGTAGGCCCTCCTTCCCCTGTCTGCCTGCACCAGCTTCCCTCTGGCACTCGGGACCCAGGCTTCCCCTCGCTTCATCCAGAAGGTGGTCCAGAGGCCATCTGAAAGGATGTCCAGTCTAATCAGCATATTATGCTTTTATTATTATTATAGATATTCAAAAGACATAAAAAGAAGCAAAGAAATTAAGTGGAACTTGCTATTGGAGATAATAGGAACAAATACATAAACTTTGTTTTCCCTGCTGCCCACTCTGACGAAGAGGGAGACGTTGGTTCCAGCCCAGCTTTTGTGTTGTGAAGTTGGGCGGCAGATATCAGTGGAGTCTCCACATTTCCCTCCTTTCTCTAGCTCTTCCCCAGCTCAAATTCATGGCAAGGAGGCCCATGCTGAGGCCTCTGCGGGAAACCATCAACAGTAGCAGCTAATGGGAAGCCTAATGACCTTTTAATGGGACAAGTAAAGCTAAGAGAGTTGTGCAGATAGTATTTATAATAGAAGAAAAAGAAACTACGCAGTAAGCTGAAGCAAGAGCTTGCTAGGCACTGCTAAGCCCAGTAGAGAAAGAACTGCAGCCCTCCTGGAGGAAGGACATTTATCACTCCTCTGAAGACCTCTACAGCATCGCAGCACACCCGACAACCCCCAAACTCTGAGAGTAATGGGATTACATCCACAGTGCACCATGACATCTCACAGGACTTCTATGGTAAGCAACAATAGCAGACAGACACATTTCTTCATTTGCATGTATGAAATGGTATTAACCCATGGAAAACAGACTGCTAGGTCTCCAAGACCTGGGTAAAATCCTACTGAAAGCAAACATGTTGTCAATCAAATTCAAACACGGGTGGGTAGCAGAAGAGCCTGGTTGCACAGGTATTTCCCAAGGCCTGTCACATCACCTGGTTTTGTCAAGCTTACCCAGATTTGTCTTTAGAGCTTGGAGATTTTTATCCCATCCACTCTAATAATATTAACATACCTGAAAACTCTACAATGGTTCTCTAAATGTGATCCCTAGACCATTGGCATCTGAATCACCTGGGAAGTTGGTAGAAATGCAATTTCTCAAGCCCCACTTGAAGCGCAGTTACTGAGAAGATCTGTGGGCGGAGCCCAGAATCTGTGTCTAACCAGCCCTCCGGGTGATGGTGGCAACACGCTCAAGTTTGAGAACCATGGGTCTGTAACACTGAATTGCAAACATGCCTGTGCATTGGCATCTCCTAGGAAACGTGAAAAAAACTAATAAAGCAAAAGCCCAATAAAATAGGGCATTCTCACCCTCTCCTAGAAGAATGAGAGTAGAGAAAGAAGAACAAAATGACAAAAATCCAAATCAAGCCTGCAACCTCAAGGAGAAAAATTGTCAGCACTTTATATAGAATTCTTGAGCCATATTTACACATTTATTACACCCAAAGGCTTTATTGTTCA